ACATTTAGAGGCAGCAGTGTCCAGGCTAAACCTAACCTCCTACGATCAGTGCCGATCCTGAATGTAGGCCCCAGGATAGAGGTATCTGCGTGGGTTCGGTCCTCTAAAGTTGTTGAATCTAGATAATGGGCCTGGAACGAAAGTGCTACCAAGCCCCCGCATTTCATCAAGCTCCGCCCACCCATGTATAGCCTTACGCGTCCTCAAAAGAGGGTCCCCAGAAATCGGGTTTTTCGGGGTTTTGGACAAATTATACTCATAACTGTAATCGAGGCCACGGAAGGGCTCCAAAATGGCAAAATGGGAGGCTAAATTTTGGATGGACGCTGCCTTTAAGTGACTAGATGATGCTCACATACCGTAAAGTCCAAAAGAAACTGTCTGCAAAGTAAGAAGAATGTCAGTAGGCTAAGCAAATATGATTTGCCGGAGCCCCATGTCCTCGGGTACCGCATCTCAGACGCCTTCATCACGATGAAAGAGTCGAATCAGATTCAGAGTGTCAGATACTCCCTTTTGGAGCAAAGTTTCACTTCAAAATGTGGATCATGAGCCTTTACCTAAATTCGATGATAGCAAGGGAAGTGCTTCCACATCTCCTAACTCACTGTTGATCTTTTCGACCAGGGAATATTGTATAAGTGTCCTTAGGAAAAATGACATTAGGTATAAATAAACAATGCGCGGCGAAAGACTGCGCCGTTTTTCAGGCTGCGCTGATGGATATCGTCTCGTTCAAGCAAACGCTGTAGTTTCTTCTGCTGGACCGGGAAAGTTTGGTGGATTCTTCACATATGTCACTTCCTGTGCTGAGCTATGCGCCAACAACTACGGACTAGTACAATGCATTGGATTCGCTTATGAACCCGACAATCGAGGTAGATTCTTCTAGCCTATCTATACAGCCTTTACAGAATCATTTTTCGTTGCAGGTAAATGCACCCTATACCAACGATCAATGGGTACAGTAAAAAGCAGTCCAGAGAGTATGGCAAGCGTATATGCGAGATGTTAGATGAGATCCTGCAAACCTATAGCAATCATTAGATTCAATCAGTTAACATCAACATGAATCACGCTTTTGTTGTCACTTACTGAAGATTTCAGCATACATCATGGGATAAATGTTGATGGATGAAGTCATAAAATAATTCCAAAAAGTGTCATCAAATTTTGACACCTTCACTCTAGAAAATCCTTAAAGTTTAGCAAACACGACATCTTACGCGTAAGGGAGTCACTGGCTCATAATTCTCCAGAACACTGCCTTCTGTTCAAGGGAATCATCAGGGCTTCAAGATGTTTGCGAACATTTTTATATAATTACTTGTCAATAACACCCATTTCAAAACAAATCATTTATAACAAAATCAACAACAAAGGAAAATCAGGCCTTGACAGCATACTTCCTGAGCGGGAAAGCGCGCTCCTTGTGCTGCTGCTTCTTCGTCTTCAAACTCTGCTCATGCTTGGTAAGGCGTCTCCTGATAGCACGAGTCTGCTTCTTGCGCAGATCAATTGGCTTATACTTGTGACCCTAAAGACGGGAGTTGCTTGAAATAAGTCCCAAAAAGTACTAGGGAACTCACGGCGTAGAATTTGCGAAGCTCCTGCTTGTAGTTCTGGTTGATCACCGTCAAAATTCGAGCGATAGTTTTTCGGACCACACGGATTTTGCAAAGCTTAGCTACAGCTCCTCCGGTTACTTTGGATACCTACAATAAAAAGCAAAATTTGATAGCTTCTTTCAGACACACTTTTTCCTGCTATGCAGTCAAAGTCATAACATGTGATTGCAGACAGATGATGTAAAACGAGACATTTATGTTGTAGTTTTGCAAGGATTATGCCAGTCCTAGAGCAAAAGTCACACCATTTCCCATCCTCAGTATATGGATCAATATGTGATAGTAGATGAAATTTAGCGAATTGTATAGCACCAAGCTTGGACCTTCCCTTATGAAAGAATGGATATGTAACAAAAATCAAGGTTTTTCAACAGACGATTTTCCGTATGTCACCAAAAAGCAAAAGAAAACAATGAAAGAATGAAACCTTTGATATATATCATTAAGTGGTCAGATAGACATCAAGATATCAACTGCCAAACACGACTTGCACTAAAAACATAAGATAGATAGAGTGTTCTTTCCGTGCCTGCTCACAGATCGAATTTCATCCCGAAACCCTTTCTTTCAGAGTTTGTAGATGACATTTTCGCACTAACAATTTTCAAAAGCGCATTAGACCCCCCGATTTTTCAAGAAAGTTGGGGACGCACATTTACAGCAAAAACTTAGGCTTGCAAGCAAAACATGTAATCACGCACGTAAACTCAAATACTGCAAAAGATTGTAAAGTTCACATTTACTGGAAAGAGAGACTCTCTGATGTAGAAACTGCCTAAGACTTCGGAAAAGAGATATCAGCCACGGGCATAGCGCATGAATTAGTCACAACTTCCATGCTTAACTTTGTGGTTTTCAAATTGAACAACCGTTATCTAAGGAGTTGATTGAGAGCAGTATTTCTAAAGCTTTCGAACCGCATCCACAAAAAGGACAGCAGAAGTGATATCTAAGGTATCCTTCAGACTGCGCCGGCCCCGCTCAAACCCGCTCAAATATGTCCGAATCCGCTCGAACGTCTGAACGCCGAAATTGCTAAAGCGCAGGAGACTTGCCTGCAAATTGGCATATTGGAGCACAGTGAAATACAGCGCGCGTTGTGTATATATACAGTCACAAGTAGCTCGACGTTACATATTTTCATTTGCCTTGAGAAATACACCATAATAAAAAGTTAACGCAACATCGAAGGTGAAAAGACAAAGAATGTAGGTAGACAGATGGAATTGCAAAACCTAAGAACAAAAAACCAGGACAGACGCCAGATTCATTGATCCTTGTGATAGCCGAGTAGTGCAAATGAAAATATGTAACGGCGAGCTACTTATGACTAAGACATATTCACAACGCGCGTAGTATTTCACCGCGCTCCAATATGCCAACTGGCACGCATATTTCCTGCGGTTTGGCAGTTCCGGCGCTCAGGCGGATCCGGACGTATTCGGGCGGATTCGGACGGGTACCGGCGCGTTCTGAACGATGCCTAACATTGTTGAAGGATCATGAGTACGTCAAAGGTGGGCCAAAATTCAGTCTTGTTTTTCACAACGACGTTTGACTGTATAGCAATGGTGAATAAAGTTGCCTTGCTTCTACTTGCCTGGTGCAGAAACGAAGCTGAACTAACGCATAAACAACTCTTACTGGGCATCCGGTTTACACCGACTAATATCGAAACAAAAAAGAAACTACTGTCGCGAAGGCGGTAATGGCCTCATAATATAGCGCAAAAATTTGTCTAATTGCTTGAC